TAATAAACAGATGAAATTTATGCACAACAATTTTGATTAACTGAACATTTTCTTCTCTTTCTCTTCAAACGCGTCACTAAACAAATAATACTCATACGGAACATCGTCACTTCAAAATCACAATACAAAAATCACAAAAGGGGGTTGCGATTCGCAAAGTAAGTTACAATTACAAGTTAAATTATATTTGAATACCGAAAAAAAAAATCACAAAAGAGTTAAGACTCTCTACCTGTGATGAACTCAACCAAAGTCTCCTCCACAAGCTCCTCCAGAAGCTCCATTCCCATCTCCTTCAACAAGCAATCCATCTCCGACCCTAAATTACGATTCCACCCCTCTCCCGCAACCTCTCTTCCCACCACACGATCCACCGCCAGGCTGTAGTGGGCCCCACAGCCATCTTCCTGGGCCTGAAACCACACTTTCATCCGGGCCCACACAGCTTCCTTGATGCAACTGTCGGCCTTTGTCGATTTTCGGCGCGAACCCATTTCGTTTTCCCCTGCAATGTCCTTTAAGACTTCATTTACGCAGTCGAATACAAGTTCCTGTATAGAAGATACATCATAATGCCGTGTGTCATGTGAATTATCGATGTAGTTTCGTCTTAAAGACGGGTCCAAAGGGCTCTCGGGCGAGTGCCACCTGGCAAGAAATGAGCCCGACTGCAACCCCACGCCTCGGAGGCCTGCTGCGGATAATAAAGTCCTGACGAGGGAAAAACATTCTAGTTCGTCATCTGTTTTTCGAGTGGTTGTAAAGGGTTCGGGATGAAATGAGGCTGTCGTGTTCAAACACGAGCCTTCCCAAGATAGTGTGCGGGCAATGGATCCTATGGGCGGTGATTTATCAATCAAGCTTGGTCCAATGCAATTAAGTAGCTTGGGAACTCCTGAATCAAAAAAGTTATGATAAATAATCAATCCAACTATTTTTTTTTTTTTTTTTTNTTTTCTGAAAAAATGAAGCAAACAACTGTAAGAGAAATTGAGGAAATGAAAGGACGTACCTTGCTGGCCACAAGGCTTTGATGTATGTTCATTCTCCTCGAAAAGTGGATTTAACACAGAAATCTGTCTAGGCTGATCGTGTTTTTCACCTATGTTTCCAGATGCAATAGGTTCTGCCATGGCTAATCCAGTCTGCAATATATAAAATCCCTGTTACTTATCAAGATAAAGAAGAGATTATTGACCACTTCTCATGTATTACATGCTGCAAATCACAAGCTGGTAAACACATTTGAAAAATCTAGCAGAATATCTTAAACTCAAACCCCTTCATGTATGCAGAGAAAAACTAAATAAAACAAACAAAACAAAACAAAAGAAACAGAAAATGAAAACATAATGCACGCTATCATACAACTAAAGAAAAAAGATTTTAGTTTTTGGTTGTCAAACATACAAATACGATTACCATGTTTGAGTGCATGAGAATATCTTATCATACAAATATTTTTCGAGGAGTTGCACATTATTTCCTTTAATATCCATTGCACATACAATCCAAGAGGAGATTTATTTAGTTAACGTAGCATAACTCTTGTATGATTTATTAAACTTTTGGAAAATACAAGCTAGAGTCTAAAGGCATTACCTCAGGGAATATAGTGCCCTGCTTGCCAATTAAATTAAGCTCAGGTGTTGAACTGCCGGACCCTTTCTCACTCAGACTTTCAGTTTTATCACTGTAAATTTCTCCAAGAAACGAGTGAGCGTCATCTTTAGTTCCCAAGACAGGCGACTTATTCTTGCCATTTTTTTTATTCCTTGAGAAGAACAAGTTAGAAACTTTCCCTCTGAATGACGACACAACACTTGCTTCCTTCACGTCCTCCCTCGGAGACCCCGGTTTCGTCTTGTCAGACACCGGAATAACCGGATACAGCAATCCAAATTCAGTAGATGAAACAGGAACAGATTTCGACCTCATTAAATTTCTATGCGAGCAATCCACAATTTCTTCTCTCTTTTGCTCATCAACAAAGAGTTCGAAACAACTTTCGTCTTCCCTTTGAGAACCTTCCTTCTTTGTCTCGTGCAGTGCAAGCATCTCGCCCAAGGTGCTCGAGCTTCTCTGGAAATGCCTTTGTTCTGGACAGCTCCCATTGGAGGCCATCAGGGCCCATCTCTCAGACAAACGTTTCTTCGCTTCTTTACAGACCGAAGACTCAGGAGAATAAGACACCCTTGTAAACACTGGAGACGAGTACGGACTCCCAATCCTGTCAGCATAATCCCATGAATTCCTAGAAATTGGCGAGGAGGCTTCTAAATCACTGGGTTTGCCGTCTTCACACTCGATTTCCGATTTATCAAATGAGCTCTCGCCCCCAGCATAACCATTGGAGAAAAAATTGGAGGAAACCAAGGTTTCCCCTTGGTGGTGGCCACCGAGTCTTTCGCGCATCTGCCGCGTGATTGATTTTGCCACTTTTCTCGATTTTCGGCACTCATCATCTTCTGCATCCCCGAAAAATTCCTCACTGAATGGTATTTTCGGTAGACGCGACTGAGAGGGGCCAATGACCTCCGCATCACGAAGTTTCTCATGACCTGGCGTCAAAACTACTATTCGCGTCGGTTGAGTTGGATTTCCAGGATGGATTATATCTGAACGATTCGGCTGGATAAAGGTGCGTTTTTTCATATGTTTCTCGTTTTTGTATCTGGATCCAGTGAGATCATAGTTGTTTGCAACCTTTGAAGGCTTGAGAATGGTGATCCGATTCATTTCTGGAGGGCCGTGAAGGTGCCTGGAAAACATTTGGTTCGGTTCTTGCAGGCATTTGAGGAACAAGTCCCTATTGGAGCTTAGTACGTCCACTGCATCTTGGAATTGCTTGGACTGATGGAGTTTTTCGTCTATGGACAGGCGTTTGGCCTCTATGAACTTCTGGCGGACAAGATTCATCTTCCTGTCATTTACGTTGTCCTCGTATTTCTGTGGTTTCTGCCATTTTAAACGAACATCTTTTTTCTCGTTTGGATTTATGTAGTTGAAGTATCCATTCTGTGGCTCTGAATAATTCATAGGGAAATCCGTGGAACTATTCTGAGGATGAATTCTAGAGTGGCTTCTTTGTGTAGTTGGGCCAGGTTCCCGTCTGGAAAGGGGATCAATGCCCATTAATTTTGCAACTAAATTAGGATGATCACGTCTGTAATCGAACTCTGTGGACATCTCTCGGGCAATGAGCATTTTCATTGGTTTTTTATTGGATCTTCTGTTTGGAAAGCTGCTATTGAAATCCATCTGCAAGCCTCACACAACAGCACAAGGTATGATCAGTTGGGGAAAACGTCGCTGTGGCCTAATGATACTAATAGTTTGAAAGAGTTGCCTCCTTCTCTTCTACAGGATCAACAGACGGGAACATCCTTGTTACACGTATGGTTTGCTCCTCGTACGATGTGTACCTATAAATCAATTAGTAAAGTGCCAATTGAAAATTTTGAGACAAGGAAGAAAAACGAAA